GCTCAGAAGGCCTCTTTGGCCGGTCTTTCTCCGTAGCTCTGCCCGTTCAGGCACTTAGAGGGCTCCCTTGCCTGGGGTCCTTCTCTACTGTTCAGCATGTCTGGTACATAGAGGGGCCCCCGGCTGGGGTCCTCTCTGTAGTTCAGTGTCAGGCATTCGATGGGCCAGCCTCTCTGTTGTTCAGCTGCTGATACTGGCGTGTGGGGAGAGAGAGGCTATGGCGATGGCTCCACCCACTACTTGCAACTCAGCGGTATCGCCTTGCTTCCATGGCTGCCTGGCTTTCCTCCACCGGCATTTCCCACTATGATCTCCTCCCTCACATCCCCTCAACCTGCCTCTCTGCAGTCAACAGCAGCCATCGCCCCCAAACTGCTCCACAATCCCCAAACTCCAGCTCCCAGCTCCTACAGACCAGTGTTCCTGCCCGGAGTATGTATGGTTGCAGCGAGGACTGTCTGATTCTCATTCCATTTAGGCTGCCACAGATCAGTTCTGTCACTCTCCACCTTGAATGTTTCTCCTCTGACTCAGACAACTGCCCTGATGCGGGGATTGGCCCCCTGCTTCAGTTCCCCCACCCGCCAAGGGCAGAGCCAGTCCTACTAACACTCCTGTTTTCCCCCCAGTTCCTTCATCCTACGGAGTTTTGCGTGGTTCTATATACTTTTCCACTGGTCAGGTACTCCTATCCGCTCTTAGCTGGTGTTCTGCACGCACTTCTGTGTCTGAAGGTGTATTCCCGATGTACCCATGGAGAGAGATGGACTCCACATCCACCTACTCCTTTGACATCTTGTTCTCCTTCAATTTGTTTTTACAAGATGCAATCTCCCAATTCTTTCAAGCTGGAAATTTACTTCCTACTCTTGTAGAAGACTTATAAAACAAAAATAAATAAATAAAGAGAATAATTATATGAGTACTAAGGTACTCACTGCTCAGTTTAAAAGAAGTTTATGTAAAATAGAAAAGTCCTCGTGTACTTTCTCCTGATACATCCCTAGAGACTCATGTAATCCGTGTTCCAAATTTCATGTTCATGACTCTTATTCATAGTTCTATACTTTTTCCATGTATATATAGACATCAAAGCAAATGTATTATAGTTCTTGATACTATAAAATATTTTAAAAATCTATCATACTTCCGTTAAAATAAAGCACAAAATAGAGACCAAACTTGAAAATTCCATGAGCAGAAAAAATTATTTAACCCATGTAAGCAGAACCAAGTCTAGTTTATCTCGTGAAGAAAACAAAAAGGTTAATTTTTGCAAATGCCTCTGATAATTATAAAATAAATATAAGACATCTTCTGAAGATAGTATAAGATAATCACTTTTAACTAACCCCCTTGCTATCCAGAAACTCCACTGAATTAACCAATCATTGTAAAGCTGAAACAACTTCCTCATTTTCACTTTAGAAGCCTTTCTGTAATGTCATACCTCTGAGCTTCACATCAGTTTTGAGCTTGAAAACTCCCAGTTTGCTAACTGTTCTTTCATATACAACATATTCCAATTAAATACTAGTTTCCTGATCTAGGTTTAATTGTATCTATTTCTGGAATTCTAGCATTGTACCTATTTTTCATTCTTCCTTTTTTTTCACTTCACATTATCATGTTCACGAGTTCATTTATGTTGATACATGTGATTTTGGTTCACTGGTTTGCAATCATTATGTTGAATATGCGTGAGCAGTGGAACTAAACACAAAGTCACCTGATTTCTGTCTTTCCATGTCACTTTAAATCTTCTGTGTGATTTTACTACTTCCCAAGAGAGAATATGAAAAAATCTGATAGATGCTATGACTTAATGGAAACTAAGAAGGCTGTAAGTCACAGTTCCAATTCACTCTGTAAAATGTCTAGTCAAGTGTTAATATCAAAGTCAAAATTTAATTAAAAGTTTTGGCTTCCCCTCCCTCTCAGCTTGTCTCTGTGTAAGAAAGAAGCTAGTGTTTAGCCAAAAAGGAAGATCTGGCATCTCCTTAACCTTTAACTCCCCTCCTCTCAACTCTCTGGAGTTGGAGACACTACCTTTCACACATAAGGGAAAGTCTAGGAGACTTGCAAAAATACCTATCCCAACAGTTTTGAACAACTGAGCCAAAGCCAACAACTGTAACTTCTAGAGTTTTTAATATGATTACAATAACCCTGGTTTGTTTCTGCCACAATTATGTAATTTAGTGTTACAAGTTTATTAAAACAATATATTGTCATTGTTATTAGAGTGAATACTTGGTGTCTTCTGTTATAGTCATGTGTTTTTTTTTCTTTTCTCTTTTCTATTTTAGTCTACTGCTATAGTGAAGAACAAAGGTTTTCAAATGATAAAATGCTTTTTCAGATTTATGATAAATCCATTTTGTATGTCTATAGATACAGATACTACAGGCAGATATTCTGTATTTTTACATGTTTTTCCTCCTTTCGAAACTCTAAATAGTTGTATACTAAATAATCTCTTTCCATCTCATTGTCTTTCATAATTTCCACCTCTCATTTACTCTGTGATTTAAATTCTATGTTTATGTCTACCAGTTTACTAATTCTCTTTCTACCAATGTTTAATTACTATTTATCTGTCATAAACTACAGCCATATAGCATGACTGCAGCCATGAAATTAGAAGACACTTGCTTCTTGGAAGGAAAGCTATGACAAACCTAGACAGTGTATTAAAAAACAAAGACATCACTTTACCTACAAAGGTCCATATAGTCAAACTATGGTTTTTCAAGTAGTCATGTATGGATGTGAGAGTTGGACCATAAAAAAGACTGAGTGCTGAAGAATTGATGTTTTTGAACGTTGGTGGTGGAGAAGACTTTTGATAGTCTCTTGGACAGCAAGGAGACGAAGCCAGTCAGTCCTAATGAAAATCAATCCTGATCACTCATGGTGAGGACTGATGCCAAAGCTGAAGCCTCAATTCTTTGACCACCTGATGCAAAGAGCTGGCTCACTGGAAAAGACCCTGATGCTGGGGAAGATTGAAGGCAAAAGGAGAAGAAGACAGCAGAAGAGGAGGATGAGATGGTTGGATAGCATCACTAATTCAATGGACATGAACTTGGGCAAACTCCAGGGGATAGTGAGGGACAGGGAGCCCTGGCATGCTGCAGTCCATGGAGTTGCAAAGAGTCAGACATGACTTAGCGACTGAACAACATCTAACATATTGTATTTCTGGTAAATTCTCAAAATTCTCTTAGTTCTTTTAAAAATACACCCTTTCAATTTTTACAGCATCTTGGTTTTTAGCTATTAATATATTCCTTCATTTCTTTAAATATATTAAACATGATTCTATATTCTATATTCCCTGACTAAAATTTCATGATCTGCAGATATTGCTGAGGTATTATTTGAATGACTCTTACTTTTGTCATCTTATTATTTGTGTAACAAGTGATCTTTGATAATGAATTTATATTCTTTAGAACTTTACTGTAATGAATTATTTAAGGCCTGGATTTAAAGTTTATGTTTCCAGAGATGTGACCCCTGAACCTTGAACCAAATCCCAGTTTTTCATTGTTAACAACAAATTGAGATTTGAGTAGTAGATCTTATTTTTCAAATTTATTTCAAGGATAAAATTTCTCATTTTCAAGTTATGTTTCTAGATTGAAGTTTACATCATTATCACTATTACTTTATTTGTATCTTCATTTCTCATCTGGTTGTTGTTCCTGAAAAATCAAAGTTTCAAAACTTCAAAATAGTAAGAAATGACTTTGCTATGAAAGAAAGATATTCAATCATCTGACTCCACATTTCAAGCTGTGTAAAGAAGATAACTTACACTTGGTATACTTTCTAATAGCTTTCATGTATTGATATTGAAAGTAGTTTTACCTAACAGCTCTGTAATTTTGAAAATCACCTGTTTCTTTGGCATCTTACAGAAATTTTTTTCTAAATTTCCTGCACCTATCGGTTTTGTGAAAGCTTCAACTCAAATGTTGGGAGAACTAAGCTGTATTTTTGAGTGTCAAAGAAGGAACTGAATAATCAATATATTATGTCATATTAAAATCCTAATTAAAAATCAAATTCAAAAAGTGATGACAGTAATGGGTAATATTGTTGAAAAATAGACCTTGGACAGAGATTAAAACAATTTGAAAGACAGTATCTATTATTTTTTTCTATTTCCATATGGCTACAATTGCAGTTTTGTGCTGCTTCATGAATCAAGTAGAAGTTTTTTTTTTTTTTTTTTTATATGGCTACAATTGCAGTTTTGTGCTGCTTCATGAATCAAGTAGAAGTTTTTTTTTTTTTTCTTTTAAAACCTCTAATGATGCTTATAAAAATAGTAACAATAATAACGATGGTGACAACTCACTCTGTGGATTTTAATTTGAAACTCATTGAGTGTAAGATTCAGAGAAATAACTTACAAAATCTAAAGAAAGAACAAGTCCTGGAGTTTAAATGCCATGTATGGTAATGCATGAGATAACTCTTTGTGGTTTAGTTGGCACTCGTTCCCCTAATACATCTTAAGGGCTCATGTCACCAGGAGAGATACTCCATGACTAAGCATGTCCAGCTATGAAGTCAGACTATATGAGCTCCATGAGTACCAGCTGAGTGACCCTCAGCAAGACCCTAAGTCCCACCAAGCTTCATTACCCACACCAGATAAATGAGGCTAATAATAGTACGTATATCAGAGAAGCACTGTAAAGATATTAGGAAGTAATATTTTGAAATCTTCAGCATAGAGCCTAACACAGAGTAGTATTCATATGGACCTGCATCTCCTCAAACTCCAACACAGTCAGGAATTTTAGGGCTCAGTCTGGAAAAAGAAGCCCAAATATTGAAATGGAAGCTAATGCGTTAGTCAACATCACATTTATTTAGCTAACAGTCTTCAGCTAACTGCTTTTCCTGGTGTATCACTGAAACAGCTTCACAGAGAATAAGCAGAGAAAACTGGCTGCAGGCCAACGGGATGGGGAAGGCTCACCATGCGCCAGACCACTCGCTCTGCCGCACGCTTCCTTGCACAATATTTCGAGCGTCTGAGGGAGTTACTAATTGAATTCATTGGTTTTGTGTCACATAGACCTGGTTTGTCAAAGATCAGATTTGATCATTTAGTATTTAGTGATCAAGAACTAGAATATATTGATAGGCACATGGCCTGGAACAAAGTAAAAACTCAGTAAACACTAGATATAGTTGTTTCTTTGAATTCTTTAAGAATTGATGCATTTATCTCTAAATGCACACAAGAAATTTTATGTGAAAAACAACTTAACCCTGTCGTAAATTTTGTTCAGTCACCTAGTATAACCCACCAGTGTTATGTTATGTCTTCCTCATGTTAGAAGTACTTGAACTGTCAGCACATTACATTTGTTACAAAGGATGTAACCTTTTTATTAAAGGGTGTTCCCATGTGATACATTTTATTCTTATAAATTCCCTACTTGGTAGGGCAAAATGCATTGCCATTGTACCACAAATGAGAACACTAATGTACCAACTGGCTGAGGGATTCAACTAAAATCATAAAACCCAAAAAAAGCACCAGGAGACCTGGTGTCTGGCCCTGACTCTGCTTCTAATGAGCTTGTCTTTGTACATACAAAACTCCCTGCTGTACCTAAAAGCCTCACAGTATCATTCTTAAAAACAAGGGAAATATTATGTAAAATGTCAAAGTACATTCAAACCCACACAGTGATAGACAAATATAAGATGATACTATGTGATATGAAAATCATGGCCAAATCTAGCTCAAGCTTCTGTTAAAATGAAGAAAGATGATTTTTCTATACAACTCAGAAAGAAAAGTGCCAGAAAAAAATTTTATTACAGAACTTTTTTTTTATTTCCTAAGGAAAGGAAAAGTTTTATTTCCTACTGAGAGAAAAAAGAATTCTTGGAGGAGAATGTGGCAAGAGTCACAAACTTTAAATCAGTATATTTGGGTTTAAATTCTCCATTCAATACCAAGGAACTGAAACTTTTCTTAATATTTTGCAGCTGCAGACATCAATATATCCTTTGTAAAGTTACACCAGAAAGACTGAAGGTCTTTTGCAGCTCTGACACTCTCTCTTGCTACAGATCTTCTATATGGAGGGCTTCTGTGAAATTGTTAAATACAAGAAACACCTCAGCTGAATTGTGGCTCCTATAGATACATTCCTCTTGATAATGGAATTCTTCAGCTAATTGGGTGTTAGCTCAATTTATCTTTTCCTATCCCTTCTCTCACAACTTTTGTTTTGCTAACTCTCTCTCACAGATTCTTCTTGCACAGTTGTCTCTGATATCCCCTCTCCCTAGTCCTCCCTCATCTTTTTAAGTTCCATACTATCCTCTTGCATTTCTAGCTATAAAGTATAAGGATTATCCTTGTTTTGCAATCTAAACAATCACAACAACTTCAGCACTCCACATTTTTAGAGCAAAGAGATACCAGTATCACAGTTTTATTGGAGAGTCTGAATAATGGGTCCAAAGACATTCACATCCTAGCACGGACAAGTTATGTTACCCTACATGGCAAGAGGGATTTTCCCAATGTGATTAAATTAATGATCTTGAGGTTGGGAGATTACCATGATTATGCAGGTGGACTCAACATAATCATAAGAGTACTTCTGAGGAACACAAGGGATCAGGAAAGTCAGAGTCAGAGAGATGTGACTATAGAAGCAGAAATTAGAAATATTTGAAGACACTACACAGCTGCTTCTGAAGCTGGTGCAAGGGGTCACAAGCCAAGAAATGTGTGCAGCTTCTAGAAGCTGGAAAAAACAAGGGCATGGATTCATAAGAATTCATACCTGCTGAGCTCAGTTATACCCATTTCAAACTTCTGACAGCAAACTCCTGGATTTTAAAAGTTGCCACGTGATTTGTTACAGTGACACCAGAAAATGAGTAGAGAGCTGTCTGCTCTTCTCAACAGTGTGACTCATCTGTAAGTTGGACGCTGGCATAACTGCTGGTTCCTGAAAGATCTTATTTAAGAAGCTGTGTGTATTTTGAAACTGTCCAGAAACACTCTAATTCCTAAGTTAATCAGGTAAAGAAAAAAATGAGAATACTTTACATTGTAATGTAATTTTCATTTCATGTATAGTCTCCTTAACCTACTGCTGTCATAATTGAGGCTCTCATGTAATCACAATGAGCTCGTTTACAAGAGATTTTTAGATAATGCTTAAAGTTGTTGCAACCTTGAGCTTCTGTGATTATATTGTAAAAACAAATTAGAAATCACTCAAACCTATCAATTCATATCTACTTTCCTGAAATGTACTCTGTGGGACTCTGATTACAGTATACATCATCTTAAATTTCATTATCTAATATACATCTAAGTTTCTCTGAATTACTGATTACTGATATCAGGGTATTTCTATGGGTGAAGTTATATGCTTTTAAAATCCTTTATGCCTTATTGATTAATGGAGAAATAGGGGAGCAGCCCCTTAACCATCTAGACATACTCTACAGAACAATATTCCTATCTAACTGTGGAGATCCCCTGTTTCTGAATCTCTTAATAATGACAGTAACGATGGGAAAGTTATACTTATTTATTGGTGATCATGGAGGGATACATAGATGGAAATTTAATTCAGTAAATTTCCTCAAAGAAGGAATAAGTTGTAGAAGAAAAGAGTTAGAGACTCTGGGAAATAGGAGGGGGGAAGAGGACTAATTTTAAAAACAGGAAGCATATATAAAGAAAAATCTCAAGGTGTCTTTATAGTGTCATGGTATATTGAAGGTATTATATACAGCTATCAACAACCTAAGATATTCAGATGTTGTGTTCAGCTGTTCAGTCATGTCCAATTCTTTGTGACCCCATGGACTGAAGCATACCAGGCTTCCCTGTCCTTCACCATCTCCCAGAGCTTGCTCAAACACATGTCCATTGAGTCAGTGATGCCATCCAGCCATCTTTTCTTCTGTCATCCCTTTCTCCTACTGCTTTCAATCTTCCCCAGCATTAGGGTCTTTTCTAATGAGTCAGCTCTTTGAATCAGGTGGCCAAACTATTGGAGCTTCAGCTTCAGCATCAGTCTTTCTAATGAATATTAAGGATTGATTTCCTTTAGGACTGACTGATTTTACCTCCTTGCAGTCATAGGGATGAGGGTTCCTATGCAAATGAGACCATTCTAATGGAAGAAAGTGAAGACAAACTAAATAGCCTCTTATGAGGGTAAAAGAGGAGAGTGAAAAAGCTGGCTTAAAACAACATTTAAAAAACTAAGTTCATGGCATTTGGTCCCATCACTTCATGGCAAATAGATAGGGGGAAAAAGTGGAAACATTGACAGATTTTATTTTCTTGGGCTCCAAAATCACCAAGACGCTTGCTCCTTGGAAGAAAAACTATGACAAACCTAGACAGCATATTAAAAAGCAGAGACATTACTTTGCTGACAAAGGTCCATCTAGTCAAAGCTATGGTTTTTCCAGTAGTCATGTATGGATGTGAGAGCTTGACCATAAAGAAGGCCGAGCACTGAAGAATTGATGGTTTTGAATTGTGGTGCTGGAGAAGAATTTTGAGAGTCCCTTGGACAGCAAGAAGGTTAAAACAGTCAATCTAAAGGAAATAAATGCTGACTATTCTTTGAAAGGATTGGTGCTGAAGCTCCAATACTTTGGCCACCTGATGTGAAGTGTCAACTCATTGGAAAAGACCCTGATGCTGGGAAAGATTGAGGGCAGGAAAAGAAGGGTGACAGAGGGAGAGATGATGGGGTGGCATCATGGACTCAATGACATGAGTTGGGCAAACTCTGGGAGACAGTGAAGTATAGGGAAGCTTGGCATGCTGCAGTCCATGGGGTCTCAAAGAGTTGGACATTACTTAGGACTGAACCACAACAACATGCACACCTAAATATTTCAGAAGCATGGGATTAATTCACACGAACATAAAAGATGAGGTGGGAGAAGTAAATGAGGTCAAATCAAAAAAGCTCTGATCAGTGCTGAGGAATTTGGGCTTTATCCTATAGGACACGATAAGCCAAGTGAGTACTTTAAACAGAAAAATAGCATAACTAGTGTAGTGTTATAAACACCCTATATGGATGGATGATAAGTTTGATGGATATGGTTATGAGGTAAGAATAATTCAGATTTAGAAGCTGGTGTAACACTTTGGTTGCAAATGATGAGAGTCAATGGTAACAACTATGGAGGGGGAACCATTTGTTAATTGGCATAAAGTGAAGGGAAGATGATTGTCCTTCCCCATCACCACTATTACAATACCAACTTATATAATCTAGCAGTCATTAGAACCACCAAACAGGAGAATAAAGGATGATACATTTCATTTTAATTGTATCTCTCTGAAAAGCAAAGAATAAGAGGAAAGGTCAAATAGGTGGTTGACAAAGCTTGGTTTAAAATGTATTTGGGGCAATAACAGTACACAAATGACTAACAGCATCTGACTTCTAGAGATATGAATTCCCAATTTCAGTAAAGACCTGGAAACATGGCTTAGTCTCCATGAGTCCCGGTTTTCTCCTTTATAAAATGCAGATTATAATCCCAAATCTCATAAAGTTTCATATAGTTCTTATAAAGCACTTAGCATTATACCTATCCACAGAAAAGGCTTAATAAAAAGTAGCCAATTTAGATAAAGTCACAACAATAACTGCTACAATAATATTACACAGGATGATTAAGAGGATGAAAAGAACAAAGCTACGGGGTTGCATTCACACTTTTGGTGGGAAAACAGGAAATCAATGAGAAAATCAGAATGCAAGTGGGAGACAGAGACAGAAATAAGAGAATCAGTAGACTGTCAAGTAATGGAAGTTATAGGGAATATTGTTTGCATTTAGCTTTGCTGCACAACATGGAGAGCAGAACAGAGGCATCACTTTGCCAACAAAGGTTCATATAGTCAAAGCTATGGTTTTTCCAATAGTCATGTACAGATGTGAGAGTTGGACCATAAAAAAGGCTGAGCATCATAAAACTTTCAAATTGTGGTGTTGGAGAAAACTCTTGAAAGTCCCGTGGACAGCAAGGAGATCAAACCAGTCAATCCTAAAGGAAACCAAATCTGATTATTCACTGGAAGGACTGATGCTAAAGCACCAATATGTTGGCCACCTGATGTGAAGAGGCAACATATTGGAAAAGA